TATATATAGTATAAATGGTACTTTAAAAAATAAATGTTACTATACAGAAAATTATTTGATCACACTACTAAGTGTAGTGTAGAAAAAATGCTTAAAGATTGTAATTGTTTTTATATAAAATTTTTCATTGTAAATCTTCCGAAATAAACAAATTACTGCTTTTACAAAAACTTCTTGATATAAGTGTGAAAATTAAAAAATTTAAAATTTTGTCATCAATAATTTTTTTATATGTTTTAATCAATTCATTCATAAAATAAAATATGAATTTTGAATAAAAATGTTTAGTTTATATTTATTTCAATTATTCTATTTACAATTATTTTTGTCAGATGAATCATAAAAGAAAATATTTCACTTATATACATTAAAAATATGAAGTTAAAAATTTCAATAATTTTATTAGTTGTTTTCTTTTTTATCTTAATTCTTCCACTTTGATTTCTTTATCTATTTCTATTTCATTTTCAAAAGATTCTAATTTTATAGAATGTTTATGCTTTTTGTGTTTTATTAGAGAATCTTCCATATTGTCATTTACTTCGTGTATATATGTATTTAGTTTTTCTAGCTTAATTTCTTTATCCATTTCATTTTCAAAAGTATCCAATTTTAGAGAACGTTTATGTTTTCTATGTTGTTTCTTTGGAGAACTTTCTATATCATCATGTACTTTATGTATGTATGTATTATTTAATTCTTCCATCTTAATTTCTTTTTCAAAGGATTCTAACTTTACAGAATGTTTATGCTTTTTATGCTGTTTCTTTGGAGAGTCTTTTATATCATCATTTACTTCATATATATATGTGCTATTCAATTCTTCTAATTTAATTTTTTTATCTGTTTCATTATCAGATGTTTCTAACTTTATAGAACGTTTATTCTTTTTATGATGTTTCTTTTCTGTACTATTATTTATTTCATGTAAATCCATATTATTCCATTCTTCCAGTTTAACATTTTTATCAATTTCACTTTCAGAAGTTTCCAAATTTAGAGAATGTTTATGTTTTTTACGTTGTTTCTTTGGAGAATTTTCCATCACATTATCGTTTACTTCATGAATGTTTGTATCATTTAATTTTTCTATCTTAATTTCTTTCTCTAATTCATTTTTAAAAACATTCATTGCCAGAGAATTTTTATGTTTTTTACGTTGTTTTTTTGGAGAATCTTTTATATCATTTACTTCATGCACATATGTGTCATCTAATTTTTCCATTTTAATTTCTTTGTCCATTTCATTTTCAAAAGCATTTAATGTTAGAAAATGTTTATGTTTCTTTTGTTGCTTTTTTGAAGAATTATTTATATCATCATTTACTTCGTGTATGTATATATCATTTAATTCTTCTATTTTAATTTCTTTATCTGTTTTATTTTCAAAGACATTCAATTTTGGAGAATTTTTATGTTTCTTATGTTGTTTCCTTGAAGAGTCTTCATTTATATCATGTGCATATGTATCATTAGATTCTTCCAACTTAATTTTCTTTGAACTTTTTTTATTTGGACTTGTTGAATTTCTTACATATTTATTTGTACTGAAATCATCTAAAGAAATATCAATATCATCTAAGTTTTTTCTTTTCTCAGATTTTATTTTTATATTAGATTTATTTTCAAGTATATTTTCTATTTCATTTGAATGAAAATCATTTATATAATTATGTATAGGCTCCAATTTAGATATAGATTCATTGATTTCTTTAATCTTTTTATCATTTTTTTTACTTTTTTTCTTTTTTTCACAATATTTAATTGATTCTTCTTGTTCATAGTTTTTCTTTGATTTTTTTTGTTGAACAATTTCTTTTTTTATTTCTTGTATATTTTCATCAGAAGAATTTTTATCAGATTCAGACGTAAAATATGTATTCTTTGTATGTTTAGTATTTGTTTTTGAAACACTATTAACTGAAATTTCATTTTGAATAATATTTTCAACAGATGATTTATTATTAATATTTTTATGCATTAATCGACATCCATGTAAATAATCACTGAAATAATAATAAAAAATTTATTATAAAATTTAGTCATTGAAAATAATGAAAAATATTATAAAGATTATCTCTTTTTCAATAAATAGTAACTTTATTTTAAAAAACTTTACTTTTACTAAAATTAACTTTTAAATGTTATTATTAATAAATATACTTACTCTGAATTTAAGACTCCACGAATAAATGGTAATTTACTTGTAAAATCAAGAAGTGTTACTTGAAATCTCACTTCCTGGCCTATTTCAAGATTATCACCTGGCCAATTTTCTTCATTATCTGGTTTTGGAATTGACACATTAAATGCTTTATGTACAAGTATCCCAATATGATCTAATCCCTTTTTATTTACTATTCCTATAAATAGTCTATTAATAAGTAAACATTTAGAAACTTCATTTTAATAAATATTATATATATATTGATATTACCTTTTAATGTACACCCAAGCTTAGGTCTAAATATATAAAAATCTGCTTCAATATCAATATGAATAAAACATGAATCATAAAATATTTCTCCCAATGGTGTTAACAATTTAGGATTCTTATAAGCTAACAGAAATCCCTTTAAACTGCAATAAATATAACCTATATATTATATATAAACATAACCATATATTTGTTAGATTTTTACATTTTATTTAAAATTGTATTATTAGATACAAATTTCGAGTTAAGAATATAATTCATGAAAATTAATGAAAATTATATACATACTCAGTATCGTACGAATTTAAATTCGAACTTAAAATTTCATTCAAAGCAGCATTTATATTTGTTAAATGGAATGGATGTAAACCAAAATGTTTTGTAAATTTTTCAAAATACACACAACAATCTTCATCTTCTAAAAGACCTGTGAGTTCCAAAATGGACCACGTAATTCCTGTATATGTTTTAAATTTCATGTTTATTCATTAAAAAATAAAAATGAATTACACTCCCGCGTAAAACATATGCAATGCAATAAATGTGTAGAGGTTAAATCTATGTTTGGCCGGTTCAATAGATAAGTGGCAAAATTGACGCTGATATTCAAGAATTTTATTTAAATACAAAATAATTTAAATATTTAAATTATTTAAATACAAAATGTTAATATTTAATTATTATAGAAAATTTAATTATTATACAATTTTCACAAAAAAAATATAAAAAATTTAATATTAATATATCATATAAAAAAATTTTGTATAATATTTATAATTTATAATAATTTTTAAATAAATATTGTTTGTAAAAAAAAGAAAATTTAAATTAAATTATATTATTTCAAAAAATAAAAATTACGGAATATATATTATAAGATATAATGTTTATATATTGATATATCAAATATAAACAAGAAAAACAAATAATGGGAAAAGGATAAAAACGCCATTTTTTAAATGATAGATATCTCATAGTTATTCTTTAAAGTTAGTCTTTAAAGTATAGTAGTGAAATGTGTTTTAATATCATCAGTTGAAATGTAAAAACGAATAATTTTTATTTTCAATATTGTTCAAATATCAACGTATCCAATAAATATATACGTAATAATAAAAGTTTAATAGATATGAACAATAATAACAGAAATGATGGATTATTATGTGGTTTCACTACCGCTAGTGGTAGCTCAATTAATATAACCGAGAAAGCTTTATCAAAAGCAAAAAAACTTTTCAATAAAGAACTTGAAGAAATTGACAATTATGAAGAAACATTCAAAAGTGAAAATGATATTAATGTACAATCATCAAATGTTGGATTTCAAACTGCAAATGGTCGAAATATTAATGTGACCAATGAAGCATTATTAAAAGCACAAGTATTATTTCAAGAAGAAATTTCCGAAAACCTTGAAAATACTTTTATTTTTCCTAAATCATTACAGAAACGAAAAATTAAAGATTTAGATGAAAATATACCCCTAAACAAACAAGTAAAATCTAATCAATTTAAAAAATTACGATTTAGTAATGAACTCCAAAATTCGAAAATTATTTATAAGAATACAATAAATATTGAAGAAGAAACTCAAAATACATCTTCAAAAATAATTGAAAATTGTAATAACAATAAATTAATTGACAATATTGATATAACTGAATCAACAAAAAAAAATAATGAATTATTAAATAATTCTTTCATTTCAAATGAAATTGCAGCTAGTGCAGTTGCACTTTTAGCTGATGAAAAAGATTTAGATTTTTCAGAAGCATGGAAATCTCCTAAAGAAATAAAAAATAATGAAAAATTTATAAATGTTCCATCTAGTCCTGTAATAGGAGGACGATTTATTTCTAAAAAACGAAAAAATACAAATAAAAAAAAAAGTATAAATAAAGTAGACAAATCTATTTATATAAATGATTTAGAAAAATTAAATGATACTTGTACAAATTTAAATCAATGTGTAAATGAAGAAAATAAATATTTAATAGAAAAGGAAAAATTAATAAATGTAGAAAACAAGACTAAATCTACAATTAATAATGATTTTGGTGATACTCAATTAATGATAGATTTTATAAATCAATCTGTAACTATATTAGAAAAACGTTTAGAAGCTGCTTCAAAACAAGTAGACCATATTTTAAAATATTTATATTAACAAAAAAAAATTTTTTTTTAATTTATATTAATATATTTACAGGATAATGAAATTAGTTTAAAGCAAAAAAATAAACCTAAACCAACAATCAGTAAATTATATTTTCATAGAAAAAATAATGCCAAAAATCGTATATCTTGGAAACAAATTAGCAAAGGAAAAAATCCTGTTCTATGTTCACATGAAGAGGTAATAATTAAACAAAAAATTTTAATTATTTATTACTTAATTCAATTATTAATTTTTTCTTTATTAGCTTAATAAAAAAAAATTGCCACTTGAAATTTTGGACATAACATCTAATAATGCATTAATGTATAAATTTCGATGTATAGATTTATATGGGTGAGATATATTTTATCAATAATTTTGTATATATTGAATCATTATATTATCATTTATAAAATTGATATATATTATTCAGGGAAAATATTGTGCAAAATAATATTGATGGTATAAAATTGGAAGATGGAGCATATTTGATTTTGGATGAAAATGGTAATGCAGGAATAACAGAAATTAAAAGATCTTTTTTGGCATGTCCAGGTGTAGATCCTAATTTACTTTCATCTGGATGGGTAGAAAATCATTATAAATGGATTGTATGGAAATTAGCATCAATAGATAGAATAAAATTGGGTTCTATTATGTTACCAAAGTATAATTTACATTTATTTTTTTATTTTCTCTGGAACTAGAGAATAAGAATATATATGTTTTATAATGTTTATATAAAAAAAATTTTTTTTAGAATGTTAACTCCTACTAGAGTGGTAATGGAATTAAAATATCGCTATGATAGAGAAATTGATAGATCTGAAAGATCAGCTTTAAGAAAAATTTTGGAAAAAGATGATGTTGCAACAAAACGAATGGTTCTATGTGTGTCATCTATTATTGAGGTGAATTTTTTTTAAAATGTTGATTTTTTTAGAATTAATTTTTATAAAGAATTTTCATTTTCTTCTTTTTTTATAGTGTGATGATTCTGCTACAAATAAAAGTCCTAATCAATATAAAATGTTATCCAAAAAATTGATATTAACAGATGGATGGTATAGCATTCAAGCTTCAGTTGATGAAGCAATGATTAAATATATAATGTCTGGTAAAATAAAAGAAGGAACAAAATTATTAACGTACGGATCCGAATTGTTAAACTGTGCTCAAGGATATCCACCTTTAGAAGTAAATATCTTTGAAGATTTGTTTAAATTTTAGCAGAAAATATTTATAATATATTATTTTTAGATTCCAGAAAATGTATGTTTAAAACTTCATACAAATTCAACAAGAAGAGCAAGATGGGATGTGAAATTGGGATATATGATATCCCAAGGACCAATATGCATTAAATTAAAATCGATTTTTCCAAATGGCGGTTTAATTGGAAAAATTAAAGTTATAATTGCAAGAGTATATCCAATGTTATATCATGAGAAAACTTCAACTGGAGAATCTAGTGAGATTGGCATGATTATAACATAAAAAATATATATTATTTTATTAAATTTTTTTAAATATTTTATATAATTAAATTTTATTATTTATATTATTATATGTTATTTTTTATTTTTTTATATTTTATTTCATTATATTATAGTTTTTCGAAATACTAGATGCGAAGAAAAAGCTAATATTATCTATGAAAAAAAATATCGTTCAATGATAGAAACATTCTATGCTAAAGCAGAAAAATATTTTTATACTGGAAAAAATAAAAATGATTTAGATAAAAATATAGATAGTATAGATTTAGCAGCAATTGAATGGAATGAAAATTGTGATGGATTATCTAAAAAGGTAATTAATTGAAATAAAAAATATTATTTTTTATATTATTTTTAAGCTTTAAAAATTCATGTATTTATTTATTACAGGAATTTCTTTCAGAACAAGAAATTGAGCAAATAAAAAATGATTGTCGTATGAAAGAAGAAAAATTTAGACAAGAACTGGAATCTAGATTACAAGAAAGTTTACCTCCGCCACGACAAGTTACTCCTGTTTTGAAAATTCGCGTGATTGAAGAAGAAACAAGTGCTATTCTTTCAGTTTGGTCTCCTAGCGAAGAGGTTTTAGATATTTTAAAAGAAGGAAATTATGTATCAGTTTCTACTGTTATGCCCTCAGCAAAAAGGTAGTTATTATATAAAATATTTATATTGTATTTATATATTTTTTATATTTCTTTATTGTTTCTAATATAATAACAATTAAATGTAACATAAAATCATTATTTTATTATATAATATATCATTAATTTATTGTAATAGAGGTAATGAATTGCAATTGACTACAAATCGAAATACATTATTCTGCCGAATAAATGATATCAATATAAATTTTTCTCAAAGAATATATACAGCATTATATGATATAAATAAGCCAATTTTTACTCCAACTTATGGAGAATTTGATACAGTAGGAATTGTTACTTCTATTGGAAATGAACCTTATGTAAGTAATTAATATAAATGTATGATATGCAATAATAATAAAAAATTTTAATGATTTTTTTTTTTTTATTTTAAAGGGTATGAAAAATTTTCAAGCTGTATATTTGGCATATCCACATATGGATTCTCAATCTTCATATTTATCAATATTGTTTTGGCATGGAATATTTTTTTATGGATATACAGAAATATTGACTGTAGGATCTTTTGTTGCCTGTACTAATTTAGAATGGCGTCGTGCTACAACATGGGATATACCAATGGCATATTGTACAGAACGAAGTACTTTCACGCGCAATCCTCGACACAGTCATCTTCAAAAACCTTTTGAAAATTTAAAATACTTAATAAAGGTAAACATTTAAAAAATATTAGAAATTCTTAATATAATAAATTCGTAAGTTTAAATAACTAAATTTAATACAAACTAATTAAATACAATTTATGCCTATGATATAATAATATAATAATTATATTTTTAAAGGATGTCAATATGTATATAGATACCTGTGCAAAAGAAATTTCAGAGAAGATACAAAAAAAACCAATGACAAGAATTTCAGATAAATTTATACTGGATGCAAATAATCTTGAAAAAACTGCATCAGAAGAAAATATTAATTCTAACAAACAATTTAATGATCATGCTTGTCAAGAATTTTTAAAAAGAAATTTATTGAATGATCAACCAGCAAAATCTATTGCTATACAAAAAAGACTTGAAAAATTACAACATTATGGTGAACCATGTAGTCTATCTCCAATTATACTTAATAATAGCTCCAAACGAGTATCATTAGAATTCAAATCTCCTATGAGGTCTGGAAATGAAAAATGTACAAAAGCTCATATGTCATTAAATGCTAAATTTGAGCAAAATTCCAGATGATATTGTATATTTTAAATTTTATTATATTTAAATATATATTAATTATGTACAGTATATTTTAGAATAAATTGTTAAAATTTTTAAAAATATATATACTCTATATTTCAAGTACAATGTAATGATTCATTATTTTTATTTTATTTTTCATAATAAGATGAAAATAATAAAATTATGAAAATTAAATCCTGTATATTGTATTTATTGTTAATATAAATAATTGTATTATTAATTTTAAAATTATTGTTTATATTAAAAATGTTATAAATACATATGAATACTATTTTTTAAATTCGCATTTAAAAGTTGTATAAAATAATTTTTTTTATATAATATTTTTTTATATAATATTTTTTATATAAATTTTATAATTATTAAATATTTATATTTAAATTATTTAGAAATATATGCAATTTAATCATTTCATATATGTTGATATTTATTTAAATTTGATCTTAATTATTACATAATCTGTTTTTCGTTTTTGTGTTAAATGAAGCTTTTGAAATAGTTCTTTCCTTTCAAGTAGAAACAGTTTCACCAACTATGCTATCTAGCTTTTCACTAACTATGCTTTTCGTTTTTGGTAAAACCGAAAGTATAAAATAAATAATTATTACATATCTTAAAAAGCAATATTATTATTATTTCACTTTAAATATGATGTTTTATATTCTTATTTTTGAAATTAAATTTATAGAAAAATTTATAATTTCAGTTACTATAATAATGAATACACAATTAGAACTAGCATATAGCATGAGATTGAATAAAGTATAAATTGTGGGACATAAATTTTAATCGATCAGATGTTATCTGATGGTAAAGTCTTAGTTTTTGAATTTATCAAGGAAATTAATAAATCATTTATAATATGACAACAGTAGAATGATTTAAATTCTAAGGTTTGAACTGAAAACCTTGTTTTAAAAAAATAATCAATAAAATTACTGTGATCTGTATAGGTTCTGTGTTATAAGTACGGCGAAAAGATTGTTAGATAAATGATTAAAAATAAGTTTAAAAATTAGTTGATTAAAGATACTTTTTTAAGAAGCATGAAATGCATAAAAGGAAACTTAAACGTAACACGTATGTCTTATAATAATATCTTTTCCATTTAATTTAGATGTTCAGATTTAAATATAATTTGTAAGCCATTTTTGTTTTTCAATTCGTATTTCTAAATATAAAAAATTAATAATAAATTAATAATAAATATTATAAATAAAACTAAATAATATTAAGTTTATTTAAAAAGAAATCGTTTATATTTTAATAGATTAACACAAAATGTAAAATCTGAAAACTTATCAAGAGTGAAAGATTATCAAAACAATCAAAATGAATCAAGTGATAATTTTCAATTACCAAGTTTACAAAAGAAGAAAACTTGGAAAGATGTTGATGACAATTTATCAACTGATTGGAATAGTAATGCAACAGATATATTTTGTTCATCAGAAATTGAAAATATTGCAACAAGAAAAGTTATGCAGCAGTGGGAGACTATTGAAAATACACTATATGAAGATGGTGAACAAGTAACTCAAACGGCTGTTTTGGAAGAATGTACACAATGGAAAACACAAATACCTCATTTAAGAATAATAGGAAAAAATCCATTTCTTTCTAAAAGTAATTATCAAGATTTGAACATAAATCATAATCAAGTGAAAAATATTTCTCATAATGAAGATACATATTTAGAACATAATATTTCAATAAAGGTAAAGAATATCATATAATATAAATTAATCATAATATATATCATAATATATAATATATATATAAATTAATCATAATATAATTGCCATATAATATAAATTAAATATCATATAATATAAATTAATAGAAAAATAACAATAATTGATATTATAAATCTTTCTGTTCTTATAAGATAATTTTAATTTTATATTTTTATATAATCACATTATATAAAAAAATATAATCTATTTGTAGGAAAGAAAAAATTCATCCAAGCATAAATTACAAAAAACTGCACAAGATGAAATACTTGATATGCTTTATGCATATGTAATATCAGAGTTGTTTCCTAAAAAAGAAAATGAAATTGATTCATTACATGATGATTTTAATGATGTTTTACAAATACGTATGGCATCTATTCATAGCAATAAAAGTTCTGCAAAAAGTTCAAAGATAAATTGGTTTGAAGAAACAATTCCTCTTGAAAATAAATTTTCAAATAATAGTGGTAAATCTGTAGAAGATCATATTTTATCTATGAGAAAAGATGTTACTCAAACAAACATGCAAGAAATTCAAAAGTATATATAAAAAATATTACAATAAGAAAAGTAAAATAGAAATTTTTCATAATATAGAAATAAAAAATATTTATTTATAATAATTTATTTATTTATAGAAAATATGATAATTTTATGAATAATGATAGAATAAGGAATGAAAAGGATGAATTCATCATGGATGACAAGTTTTCTAGGCCACATACTAGTAGAAATAAACTTGGAACAGTTTTCAATGAAAAGATTGTAGTTAGTCCTGTGCCTTATGTTTTATCAACTAGAGAAAGTTTTTCTACTATAAGAACTACTCCAATTAAGTTCATGGCACAGTCTCTAGAAGTTTCTACTTTTCAAAGTATATGATTTTTTTCTGTAATATTGCATTTTACATATAGAATATTAAAAATATATAAATGAATATTAAAAAATTTTTAATATTTAATAAATGTTAAAAAATTAATAAATGTTATTTTATATTTTTTAGGTTCAAATAAAAATATCAATTATTTCAAAAATTCCGAAAAAAATTCAAAAATTTCGAATTATCAATCTTCTTGGCATACTCCTGTTTCTCCTGCTGTATGGGTAAAAAATGTAAAGCTTGCTCCTCTAGATATGTCACGATTTCCGAATAGTAAAAATAGGTATTTAGAAAATATTAAGAATATTTTTAGCTATAATGAATATTTTCTATATTGTTTTTACAATTTTAGATCTTTAACATCATCAGTAGTATTATCCCGTAATAAAAAACCTTTAAGTCCTATTTCTCGATCTTCTTTGCCTGTTTCTGCACAAACAATTCATAATAATCATGAAAGTTTAGAAATTCAAGGGAAACAAATAACTCCTAGACAATCTCCTAAATTAAACATGTCAACTACAGGTTTGGAAAACATCTCTAGAAATAGTACAAAAAAAAAGAAGAGAAGTCAAACAAAAACAAAGTTATAATAAATTATAATAATTTTGATAGTTAGAAAAAAAATCGATTTTATAAATTCTGTAAGATTATTTTTATCTTTGTAAATTTAAATTGTATTTCATTGTTTTACATAAATATGATATAATAATGACTGGGTAAAGCGTGGACCATGTAATTGAAAAAAAATTATATTTCTTTCTTATATTTAAATTAATTTCCTTTTATATATTTAAAGTGAAAATTCATTATTGTTTGTGATATAATAATGATGTATGATAAAAATTCAATTATTTATTTTTTTATTGTAATTTATTAAAATCAATGATTTAAAAATTCAGATAACATTTATAATTCAAATGGTATATAAAGTACATCTTATATGATATATAAATACATCGTTATTGTTAAATAATAATAAGATATGTCATTATATTACAGTATTAAAATATACTTTAATTTTAAGAAATATTTTGCACTATAAATAAAAAGAATATTTAAACACTATGTTAAAAATAATAAGAACTAGTCTTCTAATTATAAAAATGTATATTTTAAATACTCTTGTTGTTTCAGAAGCGAATTTATTGTTGTAACTATGTCTACCTCACTTAATGTCTATTTGTTGTTTAATGCACACGCTTACGTGCGCAAATAAATATATTTTTGTAACGCACACATCTGTATTGGTCGTGCTTATTGTAAATATATAATAATTTATAATATTAAATGTACTTTTACTCATATTTTATATATGATATAAAATTTAAATTTAATAATATTATATTAAATTTATTAATATTATATTTAATTTTATCATTTATCATTTTTTAGTAATGATATATATTTTTAAGTAACGATATATCATTTTTAAAAATATTAAAATTTAATTATAATGTTTTCTTTTTATTATTATTATTTATTGAATATAATATTTTAATATAATATAATATAAAATCAGTAAAAAAGTATATATAGTTGATTGTATTAATATTATATTTAATATTAAAAATTATAAAATATAAATACGCGACAGAAAAATTTGTATATTAAGATTAAATTGCGCGTGCGCGAATGTCAACGTGGGGATAAGCTTTCACCGGTAGAATTTATGCCTTCAGTTACGCGTGGTCTTCGAAAGTGCGCGGACGTAGTGTTGTACATTGGAATTAATATGTATATTATTTAAACGTAACCGTGTTATTTATTACGCTTTAAACGTTTTTATAATCATTTTTATTAACTTGCGAGTGTTTTTACGTTAAATAACAAATATATTATTTATTATTTACCACATGGTGACGCAAATGAAGGATTTTAACGTATCATCAGAATCTAGCGGCATGTTCACATACGTTAGAAATACCGGCACTCATCTATCAACGTTAACAAGAATCTTGGGCGTGTGTACTGCAGTTGGTAAGTGAATAATTATTTTTATTGGTCACATTTATTTTTTTCATCTTTTTATATCTATTTTATATATATTTATAAAATATATATAATTAATAAGTAAATATAATATAAATAGATATTATTATTTATCTATTTTATATTATATTGTATAATTTTAAATGTTTTAATGCAAAAAATAACGTATGCATAATACAAATAGAATACAATATATATTCAATATATTTTTATTACATTATATTTAATATAAGATTGCATTGATTTTGCTAGTTTTTTTTTCAACATTATTACAATAAAATAAAAAAATAAATTTTAAATTCAAATTATTAAAAACTTAATTTAGTTTTTATTATTTTATGGTGATTCTGATATGCATAGAATTATGCGCATTAAACATTAATGATTTAAACATAATCATGTTCAAATTTTCTTTTACAATTAAT